GGGAAGTGGTGGAGTCACCGTCCCTGGAAGTATTTAAAAGACGGGTAGATGAGGCACTTAGGGACATGGTTTAGTGGGCATGGGGGTGTTGGGTTGATGGTTGGACTCGATGATCTTGGAGGTCTCTTCCAACCTTAATGATTCTAGGATTCTGTGATTCGTCAAAGGGCTGGGACTGCGGAAAGGTCCCGTATCCAACCGTTCCCATTTCCCGTTTCCCATCCCCAACTTTCCCAGCTGCCCTGGGAAGCACGGCTACAAACGGACCTGCTGCCAGCCCCCTGCAAGGGCTGCAGGTGCCGGAGGTGCCAGAGGTGCTCGGCACATCCCTGCACCCCCCCAAGGACACACGGGACATCCCGGGGCACCAGTGGCCTTGGGCTCCAGCACAGCGGCAATGCCAGTGGAGGCGGGCAGACCTTTGCCGCTTCCCCCTTTGGATGCCGGTACCCCCAGGGCCAGAGAAGCGAACGCTGAACCCCTGGGAGCTGGCTGATGATCCCAGGAGCAGGGACAGTGCCGGGACTGACCTGCTCCGAGCACATGGAGTTCATCCCGGGCATCTGCAGCGAGTTCATCTGCATCTGTCCGGCCATGGGGTTCATGTTCTGGACGTTGGTGTTTCCTCCCGCCATGGAGACGGTGATGCTCATGTTGTTGTACATGCCCTGCTGAGCAGGCGCCGGCTGGCTCTGCCCCGCTTGGCTGAATACGCTGGGAGAGAGGAAAAAAAAGCATTACCCAGGCGTACGTGGCGGTGGGAGGCACCTCAGGGTGTGTGCCGAGCCCCTGGGGTGGCCCGAGCCGCGACGGCAGCCAGCCTGCCTCTCGGTGAACGCCGAGACTGTCCGCGGCAGAGAGCCGGTGGAGTGGATGGGAGCCCTGCCCGGTCCCTGGGGACAGCCGGAGGGACAGGGAGGCATTAGAGGTGCTGCCTGCAGCAAGGCTTAACCAGCGTGGAGGCTTGGGAGAAAGGGAGGTGGCCGCTGCAGGGACATCTGCCCTCCGCTCCGGCTCTAGCAGGAGCCTCCTCGGTGTGATGGGGTAGAGCAGGAGAAACACCAGCGCCAAGAGAGGGATCATTACAGGGCATCGGCCTGGATTAAGGGTCAGTCAGATGCGAAGCCCTGGTCTATGTGACACCAAGCTTTCCCCTTCACGCTCCTTCTAGTGCCCTCCTCGCCACCCAACCATCCCCACTTCTGCTCCAGGCGGGAGGACAGCTCTCCATCGCAAGGCAAGGTGAAGCATCCCACCTCCAACTGAGCTCCCATCTCATCCCACCCGGCCCGGTAACCTCCTCCTCCATGCTCCTGTGGAGCTACCTGCACAGAGCCAAGACACAAAGCAAGGCATCCCCCATGTGAGCTTTCGGTTTGGGTTTTTTTCTGCCTGTTTCTGGAGATCTGAAGCTCAAACCTGACTCGTGCAAAAAAAGGCAACGAGTCTGGTCACTCTTCCCATTTGCTCCCCTACGTCAGAGCTGGACACACCTTAAGAGGGTCACGCAGTGACCCAGGACTGCTGGTCTTGACTCAATTTATTGTCATGTTTCCTAAGCCCACTTTCACGAGACGTAATTAAGCCACTCGTTTAATTACAAGCCCAAGACCTGCTTCATGTCTCACTTAACACACATGCTCATTCATTTAAATGCTGTGGGCTTCTGGCTGCCTCCGAGGTGAAGACGAGGATAGGGTTGATGGTGACTTCTGGAGGATGCCATGGTAGGAGGACACGGCCCGCGCTCAGGACGTGTCCTCAGCCAGGTGTCACCTACAGGCACCGCCGCCCCTGCCAACACCCTACCAGGGGACCATCACCTTGGTGTCACCTTGCCTCCTTCTCTCTGTGTCACCCGTGTGCTCCAGGTTACCCCCACCATGATCTTACTTGCTATTCCCCATGGCTCCTTGCTGCCAGGTCTTCATGTCAGGCGACTGGTAGCCCGGCGTCGGCGGGGCCGGCTGCAGCATGGGGCTTTGCGAAGGCGGGAGCTGGGGTGACATCAGGGGGCTGCTGGGGCTGAGCGACGGGGCAAAGGCGGGTTCGCTTTGCTGACCCATGCCTGGGGAAGGACAGACGGCGTCAGCGGTGCCGAGACCCCCCGCCAGCAGCCCCGGTTCCCTCCTCCTCCCTTGCAACCGCTGGCATCGAGCCAGAACTATCATCCTTGACTTTCGGTCTCGGGGTCTCTGGTTTTCGCAGCCGTATCGCTCAAATGTAAGTATTTCAGGGATGAAGGAGCAGGGAACCCTCCCCTCAAGTGGTTTCCATCAGCAGGTGTTCCTCTTTAGCATCGCACCTGGCTGGAAAATAGCCAGGGTAATGATGAGATGGTGCCAAAAGAGGTTCCTGCAGGGCTACTGCAGCCACACTGCCGTTTTCTCTACTCGTCAGTGATGTCCACCTTGCCGAGACCTTGCACTGATGCTCGGACGTGAAGCCCTTCGAGACGGTGCTCGTCTGCATGCAATTCTGCACTGGCTCGCCTATCTCATACGAGCTTGGTGCCCACACAAGAGGCGTACGCTGCCTGCAGCTCATTTCAGCCATCTCAGCAAGGCTTTGGCCTTTTTCAGAGTGTATATATTTAAGGAAGCGCAATTTAGAGGACTGCCTTGCAGTTTGATTTTCAAGGAAAGAATTAAGGAATTATTTGCCCAAATGATAAATTTCTTTTTTGGAGACTCAACCAGAAAAGGTCCCCTTGGGAGGTGGAGACCAGAGACCAGACCAGGACGCGGGTTGGGGGAGATGGCTGGGGACGAAGCCCGGGGTGATGGGCGAGCAGGGTTGGGCTGCAGCATCCTCGGGGTTCTCAGCTCTGCCCTCCGCCTCTCCCTCCCCACTGCCGGACGGCTTTCCAGTGCAACCAACTGCTCGACGTACCTGATCCCGAATACTGAAAGATGTTCTGCTGCATCTGCGGGGTCATCCCGGCGCCGAACTGCCCTCCGACGCCGCCCATCATCCCCCTGTTCACCATGCTGCTGCGGTTAGCCAGCGCGGCCTCGGGGTTGGACGCCAACGGCGAGAAGGGGCTGGTGGAGGTGGGAGGGTTTCCCGGGGTCGTACCGTAGTTTGGTGGGTAAGGGAACTGCTGGGGGGGCGCTTGGGGCAAGCGAGCGGCTCCGATCTGGACCGGCAGCCCGGCGGAGGGAGGGAGGTTGTTTCCGAAGCTTTGCTGTCTCATCAGGATGGCTCCTTGCTGCATGAGCTGCCGCTGCCGGTGCTGCTGGCTGTAGAGCTCGCGCTGGCGCTGGGCCAGCATCTGGGCGTTGAGGGGAGGCTGCAGGGAAGGAGGGGGATGCCCTAATTATCACTGTTACCCCCCGGTTCTGGCAAAACAGCTCAGAGCCGCCCCCCCCCTGCAGGCGCAAGGGCCGTGGGTGCTCCCCTTCCCCGGCTCGGGGTGCCCGTCCTCGGTTTGCAAGGAAAACTGGAAAAACCCCGAAATGCTGCAAATTGGACCGTTTGCGCCACTGCAGGGCAGAGCAGGGTTGGTGATATTAAAAGATCGGCCTCTGGACATGCTGAATGGCAAAGCTCCAGGAGCCGGAGCATCCCCCAAGCCGGGAAAAGAAGCTCTCGGTCACCTGGCTGCCACCAACCACCCCTCTCCCCCGCGGGACCCACTTGTTGTGCCCTCACTGGGATGCTCCCGCACACCAGAGCCAAGGATCCCCGACCCCGACTCTTTCAGCTGTGAGCTGTTAAAAAAACCCAACCCATCCCACGAGCTTTTCCATCACCACGGGCTCGTTCCCCATATGGCCGAGCCAGATGTGTTGGAATTAATCACCTTAAAAAGCCTGACAAAGCCATCAGCGGCTGAAATCGGAGCTACGATGGGAACCGTTCGGTCCCCTTCCCTATCACTAACACTCCCCACGGCACATTAGGGATGTCACGCCGCTTCCCGAAAAGGCAAAGGCTTCTCTGAGAAGTGGCATAAAGTCACCAGAACTCAGCTACGCTTTCCAACTTCTCCTCGTACCCAGCAGATGTTTTATTCACTTTATTAGAAGCCAGACAAGAACTTTAGGGCCTGGGGATTTGCAGGATCATTAAGATTCACTAGAGATTCTGGTATTTAAAGGACAGCATCTATTTCCTAAAGATCCTTCTCAATTAAATGCGTTAGCACATTCTTCTCTAAGCAATAACGAAGCAGGTGGAGGAGCTGGAATAAGGGTGAAGCAAAAAACCCCCCCCAGCAGCTCATCTTGCAGCCACCTCTCCGCACGAGGGAGAATTTCTCTCTCCCGTTAAGGATAGAGAGGAGCGAGCCAGGCTGTGCTAACAGGGAGGGCGTGGGGATTAACCCCCCAGTTTGCCCAGCTGGAGGACCGTGCCGCATCCCCCTTACCTGCGGCGTGATCTGCTGCTGCATCCCCGCCCGCATGTTGATCCCCACCGGGGAACTGGCTGCAAACTGGTTGAGGATCGCCTGCCGGTTTTGATGGATCAGCTGGAGGGGAGGGGGGGCAAAAAAAAAAGCGAGGGAGACCTTCAAAACTCCGATGCAGGAGCTTCCCACCCGTCCGATCCCATCCGATTAGTATGCGGGGGGCTGCAGGCAGGACCGAGGGTCCCTCCGTCCCCCTGCCCGTGGCCCTGGGATGCGGAGGGAGAAGAATTACCTGCTGCTGCCCCTGCAGCCTGCAGCCGCTGCTGCAGCTGAAGTCGCAGCTGGTTGGGGGCCGTCGGGGGTCTGTTGAGCGTCTGCCGGGGTTGCATGGCCATGCTGGTGGGGAAGGCGCCGCGGGGCGGCGGTACCTGCACCGGCATGGGTCCGAAGGACGGCTTCTGCCTGACCATGCCGGGGAAGGCGCCGGGGAGGTTGGTGGTGGGAGAGGCGGAGGAGTAAGGCTGGGGGTACATGCTGGGTTTCTGCTCCATCATGAGCGGAGGGGTGGCTTGTTGGGGCTGGAACCGCTCCGTCAGGGCTTCCAGCCCGCCGCCCTGGCGAAGGCAAAGGGGGAGGAAAATATCACTTTGGAGCCCCACCGGCACCCGACCTCTCCCGGGATAGCTCAGAGGGGAGGGAGGACGTGCCTGGCGTGGGGCAGCTCGCTCGTAAGGATGCTGCTGCCTGTAACCCTCAGCCCCTGGGCCAGGCTCCAGCCCGTGTGAGCGCTAGTGCTGTGTCGAGGAGGGCATTAAACACTCGCTCCCCAGGGCTTCTCAAACCTTAGAGGGAGGGAAATGATTTCTTTTGGCTTGCTTGCGAGCAAAGACCAAGGCCAGGCTTTTCGGAAGGGCTCAGGGCTCACCTCCCCGGGCTGGTGGGGGGAAGCGGCAGGGGGTAGCGGGAGGTGCCGCTGCCTTCCTCTGCCTTCCTCTGCCTTCTTCCGCAGGGTCTGCTAGCACTGAGCTGCTCATCTGGGCTCCAAATGGCAGCACGCCTGGTTGGACAGACCCTAAGGCTTGGAGGATCAACCTGAACATGGGAAAGAGGTTGTTTTTTTTTCCTATTTTTATGCAGCCTCGGAGGCTCGGCTGGAGGGATGGCGTTTTGGGTCCCCATCTGCCCCAAAAGCATCTCAGGCACAGGCCATGCCCAAGGGTGGGAGCCACGGACCCCCGGGACTGGGAGAGCTCATGGGGAAGCACGACTATATTCCTGCGCTGCTCATGGACACCCCCTGCTAGGAACCCACGGGAGAGAGGACCTTTTGGTCTATAGCACAGCCATTCCCACACAAATGAGCCTTATTACAGCTGGGGGATGATTTCCACACCAGCAAATCATGGTAAGATATTCTGCGCTGCTCTAGCTTGGCTCAGGCAGAGAAATCTGGTGTTTGAGCTATGAACCCAAGGAGAAGCAACACCTTGGAGCCAGAATCCTTAATCCAAGTCCCACGGATTAAGAGAAAGCTGCGTTAAGAGAAACCACACATACAACTCCCCCAAATCCCACTGCCTTTGGGATTTGGTTAGACGGTGCCCACCAAAGGACTGAGGCTTGGAGGCAGGGATGAGGATATGGGAATGGTGGTGGGGAAAAATATACTGCTTAGGATAAATTAAGATGGTGGTGGGGAAAAATAAACTGCTTAAGATAAATGAAGAAGGAGCTTATATGGTCAAGGACTAGATACCAGGACATAAACCAGCAGCCTGCGGTGGCCAAAACCCACAGACCTGCTGAAATGAGGCTCTTTTACTCTTCTCTCCCCAAACTACCCAGTTCCCAGTTTGCCTCCTGATTAAACTGGGTGCAGGTATCTCCAGCACTTCATCCCACCACCATCTCTGGTAGCACGGAGAAGACGGTGGGTTTGGTGGGGTCAGAGCAAATCCCCAAACTCTGCCCTGGGGGATGCGAACGCCTACCTGCCAACAACACATCCTGGAGGGGAACTATCAACACGTTTTCTTCCCAAAGATGCCTTTATGCTGACGTGTTGTTTCTCTAAAGATGTATTTCCAGCAAATATTTCATGGAACTATTCAAAGTATTTCTGAGGTTCAGCCGAAGCCATGGAAAAAGCCCAAGATTCCCATTAACAAAATGATCCCTGGATGGGAGCAAAGCTGGGTCGGAGTGCAAATGTGAGATAATCCCCCCCAATCCAGGTGCTCTTCGGCAGGGGAAGCGCCGGATCGGCGTGGGGATGCTTGGCAGCATCGGGTGCCATCCGAGGGCATCTCAACCCAGCGGTCCGATGCTGCGGGAGCCTGTCTGGTGCAGGAGAGGGTTGCTGGGGAGCTCTGCCAGCTGAGTCTGCAAAACCCTTGTGAAAACACTGAGCTGTCGCAGCTGCATCTTTGGCAAGAGCATCTCTGATCCATTCTACCAGAGAGGCTGAACTCCCTACCCCTAACTTGCAAAAAAAAAAAAAAAAGGCAGGGGGGGATTTTGGAGGCACAGCCTTGAGAAAAGGGACGTGGCAAATACCTGACGGAGGAATCGATTCACTGACAGGTCCCCCAAATAGCTGATGAAAAGATAAACCCTCCCAGTAGCACAGCGCAAGGCATCCCGGTGGGGCTGCAGAAGGAGATGTGCCACCTCCGGGCTTAAATGATGGAGGATCAGGCCCAGAGCAGCCAGAGGGATTTGCTCTGAGAAGCTTCTTTCTTAGGACATCCCATTTATTAACAGGCTTTCGATTCTGTTCCTTGTTTTGGAAAAAGCATGCGTGTGAGCGCTACGGGGCACGGAAAAAGAAACCACTCGAAGACAAATCCCAAGTGATCCATCTCATTTTCCACGTCCCTTGCTAGCTCCCCGGCAGCCAGCTTTCTCCCCCTGCCATGCCCCGTTATTTATGAAACCCTGGACTCTTCAGAGGCATCTGCCCCCACGGATATCTGCAAACAGGGAGTCTCCACCGGAGCTCAGCTGCAGAAACCAGGGCCCCAGCGCTATCCGAGTAAGACAGCACCACTAAAAGCCAACCTCTTCCCCCCCCCCCCCCCCCCCCCC